CTATTACTATTACTATTACTATTTTTGTTATTATTATTATTATGACTGCTATTATTGCTATTAGTTATTATCACAATAATAATAATATGAATAATAATTATAATAACTAGAATTCCTATAATTATAATTCTATCATACATTATTATTATAACCATTATTTCTATTATTGCTGCATCTTCGGGAGGCTTCCCTTCGTGCTGGGCGTGCCGCTAGCGCTGGGCCACGCGTCTGTGGCCTGGGCTCTGGCCTCTGGTCAGCAGCCGGCGGCGATTTCGCCGGGAGGTGGGGGACCGGGAACGGAGGACGTGAACCTCTTCCTCTCATCCTTGGTGTGGCTCTTCACCGGCTGGGACTCCTTTGGAAACCTGGCGGAAGATGTGGCAGATCCTCTCCACCTCGTCAAGGGGATGCTCTCAGCAGCGGTGATCGCCTTGGCGGTCTACTTTGTCTGTACCTTTGGAGCTTTGGCGGTTGGTCCGGGGACATGGCAGGATGGATACCTGGCCTTGGCATATGCAAAACTTTGGGCCCCGCAGCTCGCCTGCACGGGAAGAGGGAACAGGGAAGGAAGGACATGCCTGTGACAACCGATCCCAGGTTGGGACCATGGATTTGCTTCTCCGCTGCATTCTCCAACAGCCTTATCTACACATCCGAGCTGGCAGCTTGTCATCAACTTGGGCAGTGGCCAGATCCGGCTTGGGACAATCCCCGGGTTTAAGTGGAAGCTGGCTGCATGAACAGAAGTGCTTCAGGCTGTCACGAGCCGCTTTCTCCAGTCACTAGGACTGCTTCGGGGCGGGCCGCTGGCTCCTGTCTGTAGCACAACCGAACTGATCCGGGACTCGTTGGGAACGTCCGAGCCAGTGGTGCTTCAGGACGGAGCTCAAGCGACTTGCCGCGGCTTCTGCCAGGGGTGCTGCAGAAAGAACTCTCATCAGGAGAGGAAAGGGCCTCTTGATCTAGGGCTCCATAATATTGCATGTCGCGCTCGCTCTCTCTCTCTCTCTCTCTCTCTCTCTCTCTATGTAGGTGTCTATGTCTTTCTCTATGTCTATGTCTGTCTCTATCCCTGTCTCTATCTCCATCTCTATCTCTATCCTCTACACACAGACACACACATATATATATATACAAATACATATACATATACATATACATGTACATGTACATGTACATGTACATGTACATGTACATGTACATGTACATGTATATGTATATGTGTATGTATATATATATATTGTGATATTATATGATATATATATATATAGAGATGCAGCCATGTATGTATATGTGTGTATATACGTGCTCATCCATGTATATAGATGTGTGTACATATATATATATACATATATATATATATGCAGATACGGATATGGGGTTTAGTGAGGAGCCCCAGCAGCAGCCTTGCTGGCCCTGACGCTGCTGCAGTCCGCCCTGGTCTTCCTGGCCTTCGCCTCTTCAGCCTTTCAAGGCTAAGGTTTAGGCTTTGGGGTTTAGGTTTTTTTAGGGTTTTTAGGGTTTTTAGGGTTTTAAGGGTTTTTAGGGTGTTTAGAGTGTTTAGGGTTTAGGGGTTAGGGTTTAGGGTTAACGGTTTGGGACATGATTGACCTTCCTTGGTGCTAAGGCAGTCTAGGGCAGAAATAGGAGCTTCAGCAACCAGCAAGTTTTTCGCAGGGATTCCTCCGGTCTTGCTTCGCTTCGAAGTTAACAGGTTTTGCCAGTTAGGTTTTTCAGTTAGGTTTTTCGACAAAGCTTCCCCAACCCCAAACCGTAACCCTCGGACCCCCAAAGCCTAGCCCTCGGCCCCGGAAGACGAACATCTTAGTCGATGGCGCGTACCTGAAGCCAGAAAATGGTGGATCAGTAAAATTAATATTGATATCAACATTATTATTCATTCTAGTCTTAATATTAACATTTATAGTAATACTAATACAACTACCAATACCAACGTTCCTACGAATACTAATAGTAATATCTGTACATGCGAATACATGTACCAATACAAGTACTACTCCTACGAATACTAATAATCACATTCTTAGCATGCATAATATTGATATAAGAATATTCGTATTAGTACTAATATATTAGTATTAGTATTAGTATTAGTTTGATTAATATTCATAATAAGATTAACAATATTCCTAGAATAAACATATTCATATTCATATTAATGTTAATCTTAATACTAATAGCATATGAACACTAATGCTCTCACGAATACTAATATACTCATTGTAATGTTAGTAATATGAATACCAATGTTCCTACGAATACTAATAATCGTAGATTACTGGTAATCTTAATACCAATATACATACTGATGCGAATACTGATACCAATACTACTATTTATATAAGTATTGCTATTCTTACATATATTAATACTAATTTTTTGCTAACGATTCTCAATACTTGTACTACCAATTTTTAAATAGTTCATTTACACGAATACTAAGGCCTAATTTCCTAATACGATAATCCCGTTCATATTAATGTTAGTACTAATACGAGTATAGATATACACATATACTAACTGAATTAAAATACCAACACATGCGCGCAACAATGTACTAAATAATCAGTATTTTCATAGACCAATGTACCGATATGCCACCATACTAACTATATCAATATACTAATATACTAAGATGCGGAAATACCAATACATACTGATGTTCCTACGAATGCTAATAATCACAGTCTTATCATTGATAGTATTAGTACCCATGTTTATATATATATATACATACATACATACATACATACATACATACATACTAATGCTAGAATCAATGCTAATACATATATAAGTACAAGTATTACTCCTGCGAATACCAATACTCGTGTTGGTATTTTACATAATACTAATATATGATATTCGTATTCGTGTCAAGATTTTTTAGTATGGCTCAACAACCACCGCAAACGGTGGATCCTTGGG